ATTACATCATTGGCTGATCCAACTTCAATCATGTCATTAGAAGTTTTCTAACTTATCTCTCCTTGGATAAATTAAGGATTAAAGTTTTCAAAAAAGTTGGTTAGATTGCCCTGAAATTTATTTTCTGTACTATTATTATTTATTTATATTTTTTCCTGCAATATAAGAGGTAGAGATCTGAAGTTTAATGTAGTTAGTGCTTAAAACTATTTTGCGATTTGTTCGCAGAATCGAAATGCGCTAAATCTTTAATATGCCCGAAATTTGAAAATCGGCCATAGATCTGTTATACCCCCATCAGACAGGGGCGGCGTCCTTACTGCGCTGCTAAGGCGACGGAAAATATGCGCAGAACGCATCAAGATCGTTATACGCGTTGTGAAAGCGTAGTGGAAACGCCAGATATCCTGCTGTGGTCTCCATGGTCGCCAATGATCGCCGAGTCACGACGTTTGTTTTGAGCATGTTCAAAACAAACGCCAAGTTTCTGCGATCTGAACTAGAAAGCTATGAGAATGCGACTTTTTTTCAATTTTTTGGGACATTTTCTTGTGTTGTGTTCACGTTTGCCGGCGACCTTGTGCATTTTCTGGTCGCCGTACGGGGGCATTAAGTCTCAACAGAATTTTCAGAGGACTCGGAGAAAACCCACGAGGTTGGACAAGCCACCCTACTCCTTGTCACGTACAAACGAGGAATCGAAAGCACGCCAGTTGACTCAATGACATACCTTATGATACAACGCGCACACGCCAGCCATTCGGCCAATCACTCCCCCATTGTCCAAAAGGATAACTTGGATGTTGACCAAATTTGATTAAGATCATCTTTAAAAAATCTGGTCTCTATCATGTTCACAAGCTTTTCCAGAAGTGTAATATATCTCCGGAAAAGAAATTGCTAAATTGCTGAAAATCATCCTCTCTGATCCCAATGCTTCCCCAACAGGTTTCATAAGGCTCAAATTATATAGGGTTCTTCCTCTCATGATCCCAATGCTTCACACTCAATTGTGTTTGTATAATAATGTCAGGTCCTACTGAAGTAATTTCCGACAGTTTAATCTTTTCGCTAGACATGTATAAATAAGATTAATTAAAAAAACCATCTTTGTTAGATAAATTTACAGTCACCAGATTGATTGTGCCAGACACAGTCGCCTTATTTCCAGGTTTGAATTACCTGTTTAGTTCATATGTACAGGTACTGCATTATTTAGCTTACCTGTTATAAAATGGACAATTTAGAATATCAACGTAGACTGTATCTGGTTGGTCAGTATTAACCAATTATTGTTTTTACATATTCTCTCATTAAATTTCGTATTTTATCATTGCTTGATAAGAACAAGAGAAACCCAGTGGAAACACATCCCAGTAATAAACAGTAGTAATTGTATCCCGTAGAAATGAGACCTCTTGAATACGAGTATATAAAACATCTGACATGTACGTAGCGGATCCAGATGCTGACATCTATTACTCCAGCTGTCGTAATTATCTACCACGGATGATTAAATTGATTCAAAATAAGCAGTCATATATACACACCAGAAATGACAAAAGATGAAAGAGGACAGCTTTGTATACATTACATGTAGCAAATTGAATATATGTTTAGCTAAATGCGGAATGTCGCGGTGACTCAGTGAGTAAGATGTTGCCTCGGTAACCTGGATGGCCCTGTGTTGACCAAGAAAGTTCATTATGATTTTCTGACTTGGTTCCCCCACGCAGACACGTGGTCTATAGAAACATAAATTTACGATCCAATACTTGCATTTGACAAAGAGTGGAGATACCTGCCTAACCTTGTGGGTTGTCTTGGGGTCTTTCGGTTTTCTCCCACTGCTAATAACCCCTTACACGCAAGCAAATGTTTTGCGGTGTGTTATTCGAGACTAGTACCGCAGTGAAAATATGTTTTATTGTCTCTATTCAAATAAAGAGTGTTGGGATCTAGTCACATTACTGGGTACGGCTGATGTTACCTTTTCGCCTGTGCTCGGTGACGCGTGTATACCATGTTTTGTTATAGAGAACGAACAACGGGGAACTGCCTTACCAAAGGCATATCTCAGTTTGAAGCGAGATTTCAATCCGCATTTTATGGATGGCAATGGTTAGTTTTTATCTGCTTATCAAGGCACGAATTTTGTTTCCTTGGGTATGAATTTGAATTTCTGGGATAATTTAAATGGCACCAAACTTTCAACTTATGATTGGGAACGTTCCAGTCAATTGTGCCGATGTAAACCGTCGTAGATTCTGGTATGGCCAATGTGTGGACTGTGAACACAATTATCGCGCCGATCCGTGTTTCTTTAAAGATGTTAATTTTATCCATACAATACTGTTTGAAGACATAAAGAGAGGAGGAACTATCCCACACAAATATGTTTTATTATATCTAAGATAATTGAATCCATTGATGATGAACCCCTACTTTTGTTTTTGCTTGCTGTTGCACAGCAACTTTCAACTATGAGATCGAGAATTTCACAATCAATATAATTACGGACTATCTACATGTTTTGCCAGAAGGACAAAATAGACTACGTTTTATCCCTATAATGAATCAGCGACTGGACTATGTTACATATGTGGTGATGAAATTTCTGATCAATGTAGGAATTGAAATGAAATGAAATGGGGTTTAACGTCCTACTGTTCTGCTTCTATGCTGGGCTAATGAAGACGGTCATACGCCATACAGTGTGCTATGAGGGAAATTTTGCCCGGGCAGCGGCACTATCGCCTATTCTTATATCGAATTCCAACTGCCAAGGGATCTTTTACGTGCCTTCCAATGTATACACGGGACCTCGGTTTTTCGTATCATCCGAAGGACTAGAAGTTTTATGTTTAGTTGTGTGGTTTGAAATGGTTCTGATGGTGGTACACAGCCACCAATCACATATTTTCCGAGACTAACGGGCCTGCCTTAAAATCCCTACATTGACTTCTGATGTATATACTTCAGGATCTTACAATGTATGTTTGTTGTACCAGTGTTAACACCCTTATAGCTTTCATAACTACTAAGTGTATACCAGCCAACCCGTACTTCGAGATCCCAGTATCAAAACATTTCCATCATCAAAATTAAACCAGTTCAGAGATAGAAACAATAGTACCACTACATCAAAAGAGTTTACGTCAACATATTCGTGACAGCAAAATTCGTACAATTAAAAACATTGTATAATTGTTCAAACAATCTTAAATAGCCCAACTTTAGTAGGCATATATATTTAGTTTATGGCTTTTAAAATCGCTTTGAGTACGCTTACAGGTGGAATTGGCGCTCACGAAATGGGCATTAGTACTATTATTATTATTACAATTGAATAACACCACACCCCCAACACGTTCAACTCGCGGATATCAGGGTACTCACGAACCTCTTTATCATGTGTGTGTGGGGTGGGGGGATGGCTGAATGGTTTGCACGTGCGCACTGTATCATAACGTCTGTCACTGAGTCAACTGGCGTGATTTCGATTCCCCGGTTGTACGTGACAAGGAGTAGGGTCGCCTGTCCAACCTTGTGGGTTTTCCCCGGGTCCTCCGCTTTCCTTCCACTTATAAAGACCCCTACGCTCAAGCGAATTATGGAAATAAAATTGAAACGTATGTAAGTCCCAAAATTACCTAGTTTGTCTCGATTGGGCGTTAAACCCTATTTCTCTCTCTCTCTTTATCATGTGTTCATTGCATATGTATTTTTTCGATTCGATTAACGTTATTATTGAAACATTGTTTCATTTGGTCTACATGGCCAATTATAATCTAATTACAGAACGGTAAATTAGAAGATATATAACCATAGAACCATATAACCAACAAGTATATTTGCTGCCCGCGTAATTATGAGTAATTTGTGAGGACTTCTATTTATTTCAAATCTAAAACTCTAAAATATCGCCATTACACAGTGTTATTGATGGACAGGTTGCTATATTTGAAAATGTCAGCGAGGTCGTCAATTAATTGTTCCATTATAATAGAGCTAGAACTGAAAGCCTATTCCATACCCACGTGTAAAACTTATTCGTATATATTTAAGAGTGAGAACTGAAAGCCTATTCCATATCCACATACATGTAAAACGTATTCGTATATATGTATGCTATCTGCTTCAGTAGCACTATATTGCCATCAATATTTTCATCGAGGTTTTTACGAGTTCCAACAAACGTAATTGAAGTAATTAACATTTAAAATTCTTATTTTTCTTGTTCATTAGAAGGGCTTAAAGAGGAATTGAGTTCTAAGAAAATCTTTTTGGCAGTTCCACGTATTATCAGTGAAGGGATCTGTAGTGCAAAGAAATCTGAACTATCTGAACTTATTGTCATGGAAGGATAGTAGTTAATGCTTTTTTATTCCGATCATCCAGAATTTTGAGAGAATAGCCTTCGTTCGGGGAATAAGGCTGAAAACATATTAAGAGAGAATAGCCGTCGTTCAGTGATATAGTAGTCAACACTTGATAGCTCACTAATTCAGCCTTTACTTTTATTATTGAATGCTCTCTTCACTTTTTACTGAAGTGTGTAAATTATTATGTCACACTCTTTAAACATCATCCCGTCTTCATTAGCCCAGGTTAGGAGCAGAACAGTAGGACGTTAAACCCCATTTCATTTCATTTTAAACATCATACCAAAAAGATGTGTATACATTTTTCACATATTTTAATAAACCTCTCGCTACAAACATGACGTTGTTGTTTAAAATGTTTTTCAAATTGTCGCCATTCCATGAAGCTGTCGTAAGCGATTTCACAATATACATGCAACCATTGCAGATGGCAAATAAAACCATATCAATCTTAATTGTCTGAATTCCAGATCTGTCAAATATCTATAGAGTGTGGTTCAAATGTTGCTGTTATGAAATCCTTAAATGTCAGATAACTCCTCTTCAACTAATTGCCCCATTATATTAGACCTTTAAAAGTGATATTTGACCAAAATCTTAAAACCAACATCTATCTATATTAACACATCTCTCTGCACTTTTAGTTGTTGTAAATCACATCATCCGTCGATTGTGGATCGAGAGGTTTTACCAGTGAACATGTTTTCGTTGGTAGCGTTTGGCGTTCTCAGTAAGTACCTTTTATGATATTAATTAAATGGAGATATAAAAATGATTGAAATGTGTTGACAGTATTACCATCTCCAAGAGTGAGTGTGTGTGGGGTAGTTGAACTGTTAGGGTAAATGCCAGATTTTCCGACGTGGTTCTCCCTTGTCAGTGATGCAGGACGGAGGGGCTGACAAGGAAAGCTGTCTAGTCGTTCGGATGGAATGGAATTCGATACAAGAGTAGGCCGTAGTGCCGCTGTCCGGGCAAAATTTCCCTCATAGCACACTGTATGGCGTATGCCCGTCTTCATTAGCCCAGTTCGGAGCAAAACAGTAGGACGTTAAACCCCATTTCATTTCATTTCATTCGTTAGGGTAAATGCCTTTTGATTGGAATCTAATTTCCCGGGTTTGAATTCCAGTGAGGGTCTAACCCTGTTGAGTTTTAAGGTTCTGTACACCATAGAAGTATTATATGTTTAAAAGGCAGAAGACAGGAATTGGCCCGATTAGCACTAAAATAAGTCCTGACAGTTCGAATTCCATGTTAAGTCAGCGTCGAGACCTTTTATCCCCTTTCTATTCCTATATCCCCAGCTCTCTTCGGTTTTCCCGAGTATGTAATGCGCATGCTCAATAACTTATAGTAGGTCCTGGCTCGGTCCGGGTGTTGGCCGAGAAAATTCTCCTAGATTTCCCTACCTGGTTCGCCAAGGATGGTCTGGCAAGAAATAGCGTCTAGTCGCTCGGATGGGATAGAAATATGCATGGCACAATGTATACAATGACGTATGCCCTGCTTCAATCGCGCAGTTGTTGCATAAACGTGGGCCGTTGAAACCCCATGCCATCACTCATATCAGGGCATGTCATAGTATGCTCCCCGTTATCCATGTACGCGTGTTTGCGGCGTTTTCGCCAGCGAAAAGTGTTTCTAATGCAGATGATTTGCGAAAACGCGCGCGGGAACTCCTCAAAAACGTGTATATGGAAAACATGCTTTAGAATAAGGAACTTTTCACGGACTACTTTAAATCTAGTAAATGGGTCGCAAGCCTCGTAAATTAATGGCTTGTTCCATTTATCTCAAAATTTTCATACAATTTTATATATAACACGAGTTGGACATAACCGCCAGTGTACCTGTACAGTCAAATCACTCGAAAATTATTGTTTTTACCCATGAAGAGCTGTAAAGCGCTACCGCGTCATGGGTGCCCAAAGGTCGCTTATTTTGGAAAATATTGTCAATATGTAGTATTTTAACACCCGTCTAAATATCAATTATTCCTAGCATATAAATTATGTTTTTCAATTCAAGGTTTTATAACAAACAGTTTTGCTATTTGTCCAGAAAATCCCGCACTACATGCTGAAGAATGTGTTGATATGTTTGCCCGCTTTGGAAATGCGAGTCAGCAGGGACCAGAAGCTATTTTACAAATTTGTTCGTAAGTACACATATTAAGGATATAGCCTTATTTTGTTGTATATATACATGAATAAATAACTATATATATCTGATGAACTGTCCATCAAGACAACCACTCCTTTAATCAATATAATGCATTAAACCTGATTCAATATCCTAATTTATGTGCTTTATACATCAATGTAAAGGAAACCAAATTCGTAATTTGTTGTTATGTTTATTTAATGTCGGGGGGTTGGATGGCCGAATGATTAGCACGCCCGCTTTATCATACGGTCTGTCATTGAGTCAACTGGCGGGGTTTCGATTCCTCGGTTGTACGTGGCAAGGAGTAGGGTCGCCTGTCCAACCTCGTGGGTTTTCTCCGGGTCCTCCGGTTTCCTCCCACTGCTAAAGACCCCTACGCGCAAGCGAATTATTGAAATAAAATTGAACCATGTGTTAGTCCTGAAATGACCTAGTTTGTGTCGAGTGGATGTTAAACCCCATTTCTCTCTCTCTCTTATTCAATGTCAATGTATATATTTTTGCGCTGTCATTTAGTTCTGGGGATCACGTGGCTAAGTGGGTAAGATGCTGGCTCGCTAGCCTGGAGGTCCGGTTTTCGATCCCTGCATTGGCCGAGAAAGTTCATCCAGATTTTCTGGCGTGGTTTCCCCGGTTGTACGTGACAAGGACTAGGGTCGCCTGTCCAGAATCGTGGGTTTTCGCCGGGTCCTCCGGTATCCTCCCACTGCTAAAGACCCCTACGCGCAAGCAAATTATTGAAATAAAATTGAACCGTGTGTTAGTCCCAAAATGACCTAATTTGTGTCGAGTGGACGTTAAACCCCATTTCTCTCTCTCTCTCTCTCTCTCTCTCTCTCTCTCTCTCTCTCTCTCTCTATTAAAGTCGCTTATTTACTATTTTATTTTAAAGGGAAATATATGATTGTTTAAGAGAAATGATAAATGATTGTGGGGTATTTAGTAATATGGGAATACAACAGATATCGCCTGAAGATTATGAAAGAATGAAATCTGGTATAGACGTAGTCTGTGTTGGTGATAGGTCTACAAGTAGGTACAGCAATTTATTAATAACAACATTTGATAACTGTAGAGGGATATAGGGGGCTGTTCCCCGATCTCACACTTATTTATAGCGAATAAAATATCTCATTTTTAAAAATTCAGAAAGGACAGTACATTGTCAGGTGTGCGATTACCAAGTTACCTGACTTTTAGAAAGGGTAGATTAGTGTTTCAGGTTGACTATAGTCAAAGTCAGCTGATTTAAAATGGCGCTCGACGATCAGCATTATGAATGTAATTTTGTTATTGTATGAAAGATTGTGAAATGATTTATCTTCGCCAATTAACCGATGATTATTAGAGATACCAAATTTATATGACCTTGGCAGAACCATTATTTCTGACATTTTTCACAGGCCAGATAATTATATACTTGGGACCACTCGTTTAAATGTCTATAAAATTATCCTGATCACGTGATAATATGGTTTAGCTAATTAGATAATTATATATATTATCGAAGTGATAATATCAAATTAACTCACACAAAAATGTACATCCTGCCCCTAAACAATTTGAAGCAACATTTGGAAAACAAATTATTCTTTGTGGGCGTATAAAAATGGAATACCTTTTAACAAAGAGGTTATATTACATGTAGAAGTCTTTGATACATATGAACATAACTAGTCATCTACTCATCCATTCATAAATTTGGGCTTGAAATGAATTTTGATAATTAAAAATAGTTGGTTATGGTAGGTATGGAATCGCAGTGTTAAAATATCTAAATCACTATTCGTTGGCAACTAGAAATGGACACAAATGGGTCGCAACTCATATAATAATGTAATATGAATGTATATAAACTAATTTACGTTCAATCGTTTCTATCTTAAATATTGGATATCAGGAGCCCATTTTTTCACGGTAACTTGTCTACGATATCACGTGGACGTAAAACTCCGGATACGAACGTACGATTCTCAATAGAACTCCTGAAACCTACCTATATATAAACGCCCGGTTTCATTAATATAATATTATATAATTTGTTGTCAATAAATATGCATTTAGAATAATTTGGACTTCTCTCAATTAGGCTAACTCCTAACCTTGTCCGATGAGAGTTACTTACCTTTGCCAACTTCCTTTGCAATTAACAATTTATGGGATTGGTCGATAAAAATAACACAATCATCAAGGGTTGATAACTTGAAAACGTGCCCCCCCCCACCCGATAGATTAACCCAGGGGTTAGTGGAGTAGAGCGGAATGAAGAAACAGATGACATCAATGAAAGACAGAGATCGCTAGCACCTTTTGTTTTTCCAGAATGTAATAATTTAATATTAACATGCACATGTGAACTAGATTAATTTGTTATTTGGGAAAGCTAATGTTGTACTGTTAAAGATACATTATGGGAGATTCGGTAACGAGTTGGCAGTTCTCACTATAATAGTTAAAAACTAGATAATGGAAAGGCGATTTGGTGAAAATTTCATCAAATTGATCCACTATGAACCGAGAACTAAGCGACTAAAATTCCCATATACCTCGGTCATCATTACTAAAGTCAGTACGATAAACAGCATAGTCTCGATTATCCATTTAATAGTTAAATCGAGAAGGAAAGTTATGCAGTAAATCGGCTTACAATCCACTAAAGATCACAGGCTAGCGCTGCCATCTAGAGTCGATTATGGCCTGGATAGGTTAATTAATGTCTAATTAATAATTTAGATAACATTTCAGGCCTAAAGAAAGACCTGATATAGGCAGATTTAGCTCTTGCATAATGCATGTCAATATTCTGTCATTGAAAACGAGACGAAATACCCATCAAATATTTCCCTGACTTAATTATTGTTGCAAATATTTTAACCGTGTGAAAAGCATTAATAGCAGTATAATTATTTGGCTGGAAGATTAATATGTTAACTACAACTCTACACCAGGCTATAATAATAATTATTGTGCAATATCCGTTTATATAGAAACAGTCGATTAATTAGCTTCGATTATTCTATATTAAATAATTACATGTATGTTAACAAGTTTAATTATTATTTCATATAAAGAATATATTAGGGTTAGTTACTCGCGTGGACCGTACTGATTGGAGTTTAGATAATAAGTGACCTCATCTCTTGACCCGCGTGACTTAATAGATGGTACTATAACATAGTTATTTTTGGAAGATGACAATGCGGTTCATATCGGAATTCAATATGTAATACTTTCTATTTTTTCTTCTAAAACACAATTGATTATTTTTATTTATTTTATTTTTGTCACATCTAACTACAATTAAGCATATAATCCTACCTGACACGAATCATCTATGTTAAATTGAAGCGCTAAAAGCTGGCTATGCTCGACATTTTAAAACGCAAGAGGTTAACTTAACGTCATGAAGATGAGGTTTTAGCTATTTTCTTGCAGCTAACTGCAGCTATGAAAAGCCAAATACAATTTCATTAAAAAAAACAACTCGCTTAAACCGCGAAGAGGATAGATTTACATTAGACTGCCCATTGTCAGAAAATATTACTGCTGAATTTCCCGATCGTCTGAATTTTGAGAGCATGGGTCAGAAGTACGCTCGTATAAACAATTAATTCGAATAAAAGTGGATAGAAGTAATTCAGATGTCTCCTCTTGTCAGTTTAGAAAATTAAAGTTGTTATTCTAAAAATAAGCGAAGTAATGTGTTTCATTCCTTACATCAGTAGTATTATAATTCCATAATATGTTCAACCGCTTCGCCGCCATATTGGATTTAACAAAAAAAAAACCCCAAAAAAACCCTGCAAATCTATACTCAGTCGATATTTTTATTCCGATTTTCAAAAACTCTTTTTTTGTTTTGTACCTAGTTCAGGTGGCAACAAATCTTAGCGAGCCGATTTTTGTATTTCGATTTTGTGTACTTCTGGTTTCACTTTGAATTTTGTTCGAGTTTTGACCTTCTATCTGGTGACCTAATCTTTCAATAACCCTTGACCATTGTATATATGATGACCCTGATGTCAACTACCATGCAGTCAACATAAAAAGGACAGGATTTCCGGTTTTATTAAGAATTCAAAATGACAGTTTTTTCCGTTTTAATAGGTATTGGATGTTACTAGACTCAGTAATTCATGGTGTAACTTGAGTGTTGACGTGACATGTTGTGACCTGACATACCGAAACACGTCAGTACTCCTTAGGAGTTCTAGTTAAGCTTGTTTTCTGTCCACCGCTTGCAAAATGTGGGCGTATTAGCCCGTTGGTGAAGAAATTTGTCTTTTATAAAAAAGAAATATAATATGTTAAAGGAAGAAAATACCTTCTATTGAAACCTCCAGTGTGTTAGTCAACTGGCTTGGTTTCGATTCCCCGGTTGTACGTGACAAGGAGTTGGGTCGCCTGTTCAACCTCGTGAGTTTCTCCGAGTCGTTCGGTTTCCTCCCACTGCTAAAGACCTCTACGCGCAAGCGAATTATTGGAATAAAATTAAACCAGGTGTTAGTCCCGAATTGACCTAGTTTGTGTCGAGTGGACGTTAAAACCCCGTTTGTTTCTCTCTGTCTTGTTAGGTGACGGCAGTATTTTATCATTATTTGTTAACAATACTTTGTTTTATTTTTAAGTTCTCACTTTATCATTCCCTGTAACCTTTTCGCAGTGGTGGGATTCACCATCCAGATTTAATAGAAATATTGCTGTTGGTCAATTTCGTATGACTGACTTAATGCAACCCTTCTTTACTATTACAAGGAGAAGAGTCACGTCGACAACGGACGTGTATGAAGTGTCAATCATTATCGAATATTTCTGCCAGTTTGTGAAAAAAGACAAAAACCGATAAAATTAGTATAATATCATGTTGTAATTAGTATTTCCATATATAGGCTACAGGAGGATGGTCGTTAATAACAGGTGATATTATTAGATATTCAATATAGATAAGTATTATTATTATTATTATTATTATTATTAAATCATTTCATGTTACAGATCATGTTGTTAGTGATATATCAAAAAGAGCGATTGCCATAGGTGGGTATTATACATTATTTTATCAAAGACTCTGGTCAACTGTAAGAAAACTCCTGAATCCTGTGTAATTTCAACAATTAAATTATTATACAGACATACTTTTAGTTTTTAATACATAAACATTTCAATGTGATATACTGTTATATAAATACGCTTTTCTAATACATACACATTTCAACGTGATGTATCGGTATATAGATACGCTTTACTTATACATAAACATTTCAACGTGATATACCGTTATATAGATACGCTTTTCTTATACATAAACATTTCAGCGTGATGTATCGGTATATAGATACGCTTTACTTATACATAAACATTTCAACGTGATATACCGTTATATAACGTTTCATAGCGTGCATGGGCGACCACAGGAAATAACATGCCAAGGTGTGTAAATATTATTATTATTATTAAATCATTCATATTACAGACGATGTTGTTAGTGATATATCAAAAAGAGTAAATGCCATAGGTAGGTATTATCCATTATTTTATCAAAGACCTTAGTCAACTTGATTTCACAATAATAACATGTCAAGGTGTGTAAATATTATTATTATTATTATTAAATCATTTCATGTTACAGGTGATGTTATCAGTGATATATCAAAACGAGATGATGACACAGGTAGGTATTACTCTTATATCCCCTAAAAACCCTGGTGACTTTAAGAAAAGCACTAAATCACGTTAATATATATATATATATAATATATAGAATGACATTATTTATGAATGACATTATTTATGAATAGTCCCAAGACGGACGAAAAGTACTTTAAAATGTTATTAAACCAGTGTTGAAATCAGTTTGTGTCGGCATACCTTTTATCTTCACAGCATTTACCTTGAAACAAAGTAGTGCAGCTTTGCGGTTGTGCTAATAATTTTGGATATATATATATATATATATATATATATATATATATATACGCCAACAATTTCATGTGGACTTATATTGACCTCGCCCCTGTGGACACTCTACAGGTCACAATTTTTATCTGATCATGACTAAATTTGGGCTCCTGTCGATATTGGCATGTATCGGACCGTAACTTGATGGGTTATGGCCCATGATTGTACGAAAAACCATGTTCTTAGCTTGTGGACACTATAGAGGTCACAACTTTTATCTCATTTTGATGAAACTTAAAATATATGTTTTTAACCCAAAGATCTTGGTACCTTTCGATATTGGCACATACTGGACCGTAACCTCCTAGATTGTGGTCCCTGATTATACGAAAAAACGCGTTTAAGCGCGCGTTCGCTGTAGAGGTCACAAGTTTTATCCGATTTAAAAAAAGTTTAATCATATCACCGTTATACGATAATGACAGTTGAACCGAAAGTGCCTGACATAATGACAGTTCCCCGTACGCAAATAGTGTAAAAGCATGTAATACCAATGTGGTGGATCCTCTAAAGGTCACAATTTGGATCCAATTTTGATGAAGCATCCACTGCGTACTACAATCGCGGGCCGGTGGTGATACAAACTTCACCCAAAATGAAAAAAAGACAAACTAAAGCAACTCACGAAAAATGGAAAAGTTGAATAATTCCCCAAAGTTGTATGATACTATGATTGGCTAGGTGCTGCATGGGATATAAATGTAGGAACATCAAAGGAAAACACATTAATAATAGTAAATGCAGGAGAACCGCACTACACGTAAAACAAAAATCTACAAGATAAACCTGCGGACAAAACAGAAAATAGACATTGTACCAAATAAACAAATATCAAATCAAGTGAATGGATCCGGGGGCCAGCCGTAAGCGTTCACTGCGCTGTACAGTCCCAGGCCTGTAGTGACACAGACTTCACTCAAATTTGAAAACAATCAGGAATACAAAAAAGACGTAACAGAAATAATGCGACCGATCTTGCCAGTGGTCGTCTCCTCAATGGCGATAGTCTGCCAGTTGACGTCATGAGTTAGAATCTCGGAAAACGCTAAAATAATAAGTGTAGTGAGCAAACAGGAGCAAAACCCGACAACGAGAACATTCTGCAGTACGAAGGGTTAAAACTCTACTCTAATAGTAAGTGCAGGAGGACCGCACCCCTAAGTAACCATTTTGGTGAAATGTAGTACAAAGCCAAGTAAATCTAAACGACCTATTTACTAATTAAATAATAGGAATCACGTGTGTAAAGAATTCCAGTGTACTACTTACAAAGTTAAGCATAAGTCCTTATTTTTATAAAACAGAGTACAAAGAAGCAACTATGACTAGTCTTGACGGCGGTCTTCTTCTGAATGACAATATGTAAAGGCGGTAGATCGCCATTTGACGTCATAAGTTAAAATGTAAATAATGTCAACAGTAAAAAGGGCGATAATCGAGGGAGAACTACGCTGAAAGGTTTAAACCCTTACAATTAGGAACAGATGGGTGTTATTCAACTATGTCATTTCACATAATAAAATAAGCTATACGATGTACATATAAGAAATACTAACGGGGTATAATGAAGAAATAAACTATAAACAAATATACTTCACAGTAACTCTGGTCAGTCAGATCACATGTAATTTAGGGAGTTGGTCTTATTTAATAAAATTGAATCATATTTCAGTAGGTGATCTTGATTTCCGGATTACCCGACAAGAGTGTTATACAAGATTATCGGAATGTGTCCCATATCTGTCAGCTATTGCTTCTAATTTATCAGACGCCTCACTAAGTGAAATGTGTATGTAAGTAAATTTCAAACACGAATCTCTTGTGTTACTGTTCTCTTTTCTCCAGGAGAAACGGTGCTTCAGTGAGTAAGATAGTGGCTCGCTAACCTTGAGGTCGCAATGTTGCATCTCTTTTCTCCAGGAGACACGGTGCTTCAGTGAGTAAGACGGTGGCTCGCTAACCTTGAGGTCGCAATGCTGCATCTCTTTTCTCCAGGAGACACGGTGGTTCAGTAAGTAAGATAGTGGTTCGCAAACCTTGAGGTCGCAATGCTGCATCTCTTTTCTCCAGGAGGCACGGTGGTTCAGTGAGTAAGACGGTGGCTCGCTAACCTTGAGGTCGCAATGCTGCATCTCTTTTCTCCAGGAGAAACGGTGCTTCAGTGAGTAAGATAGTGGCTCGCTAACCTTGAGGTCACAATGCTGCATCTCTTTTCTCCAGGAGACACGGTGCTTCAGTGAGTAAGATAGTGGCTCGCTAACTTTGAGGTCCCAATGTTGCATCTCTGCATTGGCCGAAAACATTCATCAGTAATTTCCTGCATGGTTCCCTCTTGTCAGTGGTGCAAGACGGAGGGCCTGCTAAAGGATGCGTATAGTCAGTCGGATGGGAGGAAAAACCGAGAACCATTTCATTCCATTTCTTTGTTCTACATGGTAATGTGTGATCAAAGCAATACATATCATTTAGGAACATATATTCTTGTTTTTATTTAAATGTAGTTCAGAGTGATATGGGATTATATATAAATGTTTTCTTTTATTATTATTAAACATCTAGGCATGCAACTCAAGCTATGACTTGTCTGGAAGAGTTTTCATCTAAATGTTCAACCGTTTTTCCTAATATAAAATTATCAGAGTTGGAAGACAGTATTGTACCACTGAGAGTACTGTGTAAGTACTTATACTCATGTTGCTGCCGTCTAGAGGGTCATTGGGGATGGTTGAGGAGGGGAGGGGGCAGTTGGCATGGACTTTGGTAAATGTTTTATTGATTTTTTAAAGTGAAGGCGGATCCATTTTATGTATATTTGTATATCCATATGTGTTTAGTTTGAAATGAGGCTTTCATTTCTCGTCTGATCAGGGCTTGTAAATAATCAGATTGCACAGATCTGGGTTTCTGTATTTAATCCACGTACGTTTTACTAAAGTAACTTTGTGTATCCAGGTTATAGAAGAGTATGCGTACATATTTCAATACCTCTGATAATGATATACCATACAAACACCAGTGTCTGAAGTATACTATCCAGCTTTCAAGTATATTACATTAGCTTGACCTTCCAAGAGTAGCGATGATAGTTATTAGGTTTTGAAATATGATGTCTGTCTTGTAATTTAAACAATGATCCTGATTCAACAATAGTCTAAAGTACATATTTTCTTTCTATTAATTTCATGACACCATTTCTATCCTCAAATAACCAGGAACAGATATTCTCACCGTACCCTTTCTATTTCAGGTAACCAGGATAACAATGAAATAGGTATGTCAATAATCTGAATATATTTAGCTGAGGAAGTTCCTACCGATTATTCCTTTGTTTTATCCCCTTGTCAGTTGTATCTGGTGGAGAACCTAGTAAGGAACAGTATTTAATCTTTCAGACCAGTTGATAAACCAAGGTCTGGTGTACACTTTGGTATGCACTTAATAAAAAGGTCTGGTGTACACTTTGGTATGCACTTAATAAAAACCGTGAAGGTTGGATTTCGATGAAGAATATGTGGAAACATTTAGTTTACTTTCAAACTATATATTCTATATTGATAAACTGATAATTCAATTCAATCCACGAACCCCAGGCAACAGATGGTAGCTTCAGCCTAGACTGTTATTTTCATAGTTTATATTACTATCTAAAGAAACAAATATTCTCAACATACTAGAAGACTTGAGGCCACAATAAACTATATCTTTTTCAACATTGTCTATATCTTTTTTTATAATTAATTGATATGGGTTGTCTTTCTGATTGTAAAACAAAGACTAGATGTTTGAATGTTTTACAATAATCAGCGTTATGCCTCAGTTTGTTACTAAATATTGTTAATACTTTGTATGCTGCAATTATTAACCTAAGCTGCTGTTTATATTTTTAAATATTGAAAGATGGCTGCTTTAGCAAACCAACACATTAAATTGACAATTCTACTTGATAGGTCAGTCATTACCTACCATTTCTGGTCCTTGGTGCAGTCTGTGAAAAAAAGGCTAGTATTCCAATATATGCCTCAGGTATAATCCTTGAATGCCTCAGGTATTCTGATATTGACTGGTGACATTAATTTGTATACTAAAATTTTAAAATCGCTCGAAAGGATCGCCTGTGTGCCGATTCACGGCCACTATGATTCTTCTCGGCGAACCATTCGCCCGATCGATCGAACCTATCTAGCATGGTAGATATTTTCGGCCAAATATTTTACGTCAGCGATCAATTCGTCGGCTGACCCACTCGTCTACCACTATTAGCCGTATGGTACATGCAGTGGTCGAATAACCTGTCAGACAAATTAATGGACAGATTCTGTTTGCGTAGCTTTATTGTTTATTGTATTTTTTCAGCTCTGTCACAATATCAAGAAAGAGGTATAAATGTTTTAGATCTTTTTTACATGACCAGTAAAATTGCTACTGAGTTCATGACTTTCAATGAATTGGTCTGCATGCAATTTTACTTGATCAATTATACCTTGAAGTAAGTTGTTCCCCAGATGAATTATCATTTAAAATGAAGATTGAGAGATCGTTTGTACACTTGATAGATCTCCATGTACACGGCTTCACATTGGAATTACCTAGTGGTCGAGAGTGTACACCGCTTCACGTTGAGATTACCTTGTGTGAGCACCTTTTGAACCTCGTGGGTTTACTTCTCCCACAGGAAAGAACCCTGCATGCGTGCCAAGTATAACAAAATAAGTTAACCTGTCTGCGATATCACCCTCGTTGGAAAAGGACGTAAAACACCAACAGCAGAAGACATTCATTCAAATGTTCATAATGGAACTGCTGGGACGGCTATTCTCTTCCATATAGATTTCAAATTCCATTTAAAAGATACTGTCAACCATTTTAGGTAACACTTATTTTATTGTACTAATATTTTTAAGAACATGTTTCTGTTTTCATTTTCAGATTTAACCCAATCTAACACTTTTAATACGAGGGCTACTGAAAAAAGTGAGTACTTTTTCATACAAAACAGAGACACCCAAACATTTCATGTTTTTATCTGATTTTTCAATTTTGAATTTAAACCTGATTTTCTTCAAATAAGAAATAAATCTATTTCAGAATGCCAGGAAATGGGTGAATCATGTTTAGCTATAGTCGAATCCCTTGGTATTGCACGAGGTCAAAGAGAAGTAATGTGCAAGTAATTATATTTCTATCATTAGAAATAAAATCAAATCAAATCAAATGAGGTTTAACCTCGACCGGACTAATGAAGATGGGTATACAACCATAAATGTGCTGTGAGAGTTAGTGTCTCTAGACAGCGGTGCTACATACGTCTCTTGTTTCATATTCAAAAAGTCGAGAGTTCTTTTTCATGTACAATGTGCTGTGAGAGTTGGTGTCTCTAGACGTCTACCTACGTCTCTTATGCCACTGTAACTTCTCTATCATTAGATACATTATGATATTTCTATTATTAAATACTATGGTGTTTTTATTAGACAAGTTTATTTGATGATACTCAAAGTTGCCGACCATATTTCTAAAATACCGACTGTAGATCATTCAAGTAACTCGTATAGAATGTCCAACCAGACAATCAATGACGCATCATCGGAAAATGAATCTAGTTCTTTTAGCGTTCGAAAAGCGCCGTACGAAATGTCTGGACCTGGAAACTTTCTTGACCTTGTTTGATTGGCAGCACACCCGGTAAGTCGTATCGTGAACTATATGGTGATACTGTTTAAGTTATATACAACTTTGTAAGGCTATTCTGAGAACATAATAATGATGATGTATACATTAAACATTATTGATTATGTTCTGATATTTAACTGCCCTATATTTTGTATTGACTTGCCCAATGGCCCAAGTATTGTCGTAATGTTCATTGTTCAGAGTTCGCTAGTGAACGAATTTCTGGACTTTAAATAGCGTTTGCGGTCATCCAATTTTCAAAATCTTCCCGTGGAGGACCCCCGGATCCACCTCCATCCGGGTGGATAGAACACCCCGCACCTCACCATAAAGAGTTTACTGCAGGTTTCTTGTATTTATTTAATCAAACCTTGCCCTGGATACATTTGATGAGATATTAGCAGTACTATATAAATCAACGATAAAGGGGTAATTTTGTAATGTTCAATGAATAATGGAGATCAAAAATATCTTCATGACAACTTTACTTGAGATCTACAATTGAAGTTGATAGTGTTACATAGTCAAATTTTGTTTGTGTGAATTTTTTATATCTTATTACGCTTCATAATGCTCCCTTCATAATTAGGTTGGGCAAATATATTAACATATAATGAATAACTGATGTTTCAGCGGAATAAGGAGTATGCTAAGTTGTCTCCAAAACGTTTTGACTGAATGTGCAGATCAACTACAAAATTACAATGTTGATACCATGATGGCTGCATACCAACAACAACTTGGTATTTACTGTAAGTAGTTATTAATATGGGTTTGATGATAACGTTCTTTAGAAATGCAACAAAGATGTATGATTGTTTGTATATCTAGAGACATTTAGATTGTTCTGTCCTTTGGTGAAAATCTACTGAATATACCATATTATAAAACATTTATCATACAGTAAAAATAACATACCCTGAAGATCTCAGTAATATCGAGCTAAACCCTATAGAAATAACATACCCTTAAGGAGTTTTAAAGATCCCCACAACATCCTACAGAAATAATGTAGATCGTAAGTTATACCAAAGCAATATCTAAATTATGGTTGTCAATATTAAAATAAAAACACTGATAAGCATTGAGATTTAAACAAAGAAAATATATTCTTATCATATCTCTTCTATTTCAGGTAACGGCAATGAAAATGAAATTGGTAAGTCAAGAATTTGAATATATTTAGTCTTATATAATTATATTAACAGTATATTGATTGACATTTATAGTGAAATATAGGATCGGCCCACCTGTCAGGTCATTGACCAAGGCCCACACAAGTACGCGCCGTAGTCGCGTCACGAGCGCGGCGAAGGCGCACAGGCGCCCGAGAGGGGTCTGAGGGGGGGGGGGCTCTCCCCAGGAAAATATTGAACATTGACAACCGCAAACCCATTTTTTTTTTGTGTAGTTTGTCAGTCATTTTTTTCCTATCTTTTCTTTCTCCTGTCCTGTGTCCTGTTCTCTCCTTCCTTTTCTTTCCTCTCCTTTTTTTCTCTTTTCTTTTTTCTTTTTTTCTTTTTTCTTTCTCTTTTTTCTTTTTTCTTTATAGGCTTAGGCCCACTTTTTTTTAATGAGCTTAGGCTCACCTGTCACGGACAGGTGGACAGGTGGGCCCAGTCCGGCACTGGGATTGGTCCGATAAAAAACCGTTTGACTTATAGTTCACAAAAGCGTAGTTGGCTATCAACAGTGTCAGTACTGGTGAATCCATGTGTTGCCGGATAATGAACCTGCATTTACATGTATTGCCGTCCTGGCATTGGTTGATCTTTATTGAATTGTGTCTGCTGGAAATGGATTCACCAGTGTTATGACAACAAACCTTAGAGCGACGGCTCTGACACTCATGCCCTCATCAGTTAATGCAATGGCGTGTTCTCGGTCTTTAGGTGTCAACGTTTGCATATCTTTTGTCTTCCATTGAACTGTAGGAGTTGCATTGATCCTTTCTCTATAATTATTTCCACCTGGACTGAACTTCAGAGAAAGACCGACATTTATAATTTACAAATTAATATATACATTCACTGTAAATGTTGTTTTGATCAGATAACATAACCATTTTTTAACATTTACCGATTTTCATCGGCATTGAAACGATCCAGGATGCCTCTTATTTGCACAAGCTGTTGCATCTCCTTCAGACAGTGGTGTATAGTTTCATTTCCAAGTAACCTGACTGAGTTTTATCGTGAAAATTTAATTCTGAGACTTACTCATAGATAACCAGTTTGATTGCTCAATACTTTTAAAAAATACAAATGTGCAATTAATTAATAGTCATCTATTTATTTTGGGATTTCGGCGGGCGACACCAGCCTCGCTGTTTGCTTGTTAAATTATCAATATTATTTGTAGGTGGACCAGGACCTATGTCAGGTGGACCAGGACCTATGCCAGGTAGACCAGGACCTAGGCCAGGTAGACCAGGACCTATGGCAGGTGGACCAGGACCTCAGCAAGGTAGTTTAATGTTACTACATTTGTTTATCTAATCTAGATATTAGTACTTACTTTTTATTACACAATGGAGCTGACATTGCATGATTTTCAATTCTCCTAAAAGAGGTTTAACATTTGTGGTATAAGACTTCTGATTCACATATGAATTTGCCACTGTCATTCTCAAATTCTTCTGCTAAACATTCCGACCCTTGTCACGCCTACCTTTTAAAGTCGTGGATATACAGGTGCTGTTCGATTGTTTTCATAAAAAAATATCGAATTAAATTTAAACACACTAGGTGAATACTTGTTTATTTTAGCTCCAGCTGTATTCATCTATTTCTTAAATGAAATAAAATGAGGTCTAATGTCCTACTGTTCTGCTCTGACTTGGCTTATGAAGACGGGCATATGCCATACAGTATGATATGAGTGACATTGTGCCCAGACAGCGGCGCCACGGCCTTCGCCTATATCGAATTCCAATTGTCAAGGGATCTCTTACGCGCACGCTAATCCAACCCGAACAATTCTACGTTGTCCCTGGACAGGCCCTCGATCCTGCATCACTGACAAGCCCAATGAACTTTCTCGGCCAACGTAGGGGTAGAACATGTGACTTCCAGGTTAGGGAGTCAATGCCTTACTCACTGATCCACCGTGGCTCCCGATTTCCAAAATATTGACAGAACTTTTTTTATAATCTAATTATCAAAGTTTATATCGTCCTCGGTTACCCAGTGTACTCATTCCGTTCTACTCCACTATACTCTGGGTTAATATATGGGGGAGACACGTTTTCAAGTTATCCGCCCTTGATGATTGTGCTATTTTTATCGACCAATCCCATAAATTGTTATTTGAAAAGGAAGTTGGCAAAGGGGAATAACTCTCATCGGACAATGTTAGGAGTTAGCCTATTCTAAATGCTTAATTATTAACAGCCAATTATATATACTGAGCGCCATTGAAAACGCATCACTTAGTTTTTCGTATAACAAAATGATCCTGTAAACATACTTTATTTATTTTGCTTCTTATTGTGAACAATATTCAAATGGGAACACATCAATAACAACACATTTGTACACTTATGGATGTTTAATCTGTAATCAAGGGTACAAAGTCAGAGGGGTCAAAACCAAAAGTACGACACAGATGTCAGTAGCGCGTGTGTCCTCCACAGGCCATCATTACGGTAGGCTACAGCATTAACGCGACCCCTGCAAATGTGTAGGGCGGTCCGGTGATGAAATGTGAAGCCTCCCCACACCATTACACTTCCCCCATCCCATCGATCCGTTTCGAAGACGCAGAAGTCTGCAAGACGTTCCCCAAGACGTGTCCACACACGTTGACGGCCATCAGCGTGATAAAGATGAAAGCGACTCTAATCACTGAAGAGCACACTTTGCCAGTCTACTCTTCACCATGTCTGGTGTCCTTGAGCCCATATCAAACGCCGCTGACGGTGATGATCCAACATAAGGTCGTCGTGCACGGAGTCCTACTTCTCTTAGACGACGTCTTACGGTGTTGGCACTTACTGGTCCTTGTCTTCCGACGACTGCTGCACCTGTTCGAGTCGCTGGGCGGAATCTGTCACGCAGATGAGTGACCCAGATGTAGCGGTCTTGAGCCTGGGTTGTAACGCGTTGTGGACCAGGGCCCTTATTCACGAAAACTTAAACTAAGATACAATCGAAATTTTAAGAAATACTGCAATTCGATTGGCTTACGAGTAAAATCAATTTGCATATATCCAATTTGCATATTGGTCAGCCAATCGAATTGCAGTATTTCTTAAAATTTCGATTGTATCTTAGTTTAAGTTTTCGTGAATAAGGGCCCTGGACGTTGACGGTCACGTGTTGATCCAGTAACTCGAACACGTTCCACCAACCTTACAATAGTGGACTGATGACAATTGAAGTTTCTGGCAATAGCACGTGTAGACATGCCAGCCCTGGACATTCCCATGGCTTCATTCCGTTGATTTTCAGTAAGTCTCGGCATCTCTAGCTCGATTCCTTCACACGTCCAACAACAAATTCACAGTTCATGTACTGCACATTAAGTTAAAAACATACTTTTAAAGGGCTCACACACAATGCTGCACGCGAATATTGGGGTTTTCATGTACATCTCGTGCATTTTTTTTTTGCACACGGGCCGATATTTTTTTGTGTTTGGGAGCATTGTGTGAAACAATAGTTCATAGTATTGCATAATATTATACATACAAAACCACCTAGTAATAAAATATTTGGGGAAAAAAAGTGATGCGTTTTCTATGGCGCTCAGTATATTATGTTAATGAAGACCAGACGTTCATATAATAATGTAGGGTCGTTAGTTTTATTTAGATTCGTTCGTTTGTTTGTTCCCGAAATGTTATGCCCACGTGATATCGTAGACAAGATATTGTGAATCACATTGCCAAGTATAAGTTCAATAATAATATACATAACAGAATTACATATTTCAGTCAAAGAACGAATAGTAATAAATATAACAAAAGTCAAACATACATTTTTGAAATCAACAACACATACTACAGATTTTGATAATACAATTAAATATAAATAAATTATAAATATATACATTATTTAAATAAATCATAAATATATAAATAAATTATAAATATATACATTATTTAAATAAATCATTCAGTAAATGGACATGAATATGGTTATCCACCCTTATAAAAACGAAGGCGAAACGATTGGTATGTAAACTGTTTTCTGATTGGTTCGTAGACTGTAGCTACATTCTAGGTCAGGGCAGGTAATTTGAAATCGTGGAAACCCTATGGATTAACCCAGGGTAAGTTTGTCAGGGGTATCCCACAATGAAATATATTTATCAGTGTGTTTTTGTAATGACTGAAGATGTAAGGTACCATTTATTATGGTACAGTTTTGAGCTAATCTAGCCCAAACATACATGTCTAGAACCACAGTCCTCACGGCCACGCCCACCGCCAGACAGGCAGACTTAAATTCTGATGATACCAGATGTACATGCATTGATACCATATAGTGCGATTGCATCCCCCCCAACCTCTCAATCGCCTGGTCTATTATTATTATATAGAAATATCATCAATTATCACTGGAAACTATTTTGATGAAAAATTCCCCATGTCGACTATTAGCTCTCAGAATATATTGCAATATGTATTGAAGTATATTTCAAAAGTGTTTTACCTGCAACCGGTCCAACTACTTCTTTTATTTAGTTCTTTCCCACTGTGAAAATAAATTTAATGAATGCGGACAATATGGTGCTCAGTTAGAAGCGGCAGGTGCGCTGGACCCAGTCGCCCGTTGTGGGTAAGTATAACTTTTGTGTTTCTAATAATACCAATAATCTTTAGAGACATTTAGTAACTCGATGGAGTAATAAACTATAATACATACTTATAGAAAACAGCTTCTCAAAACTTCGCCCTAATGATTTAGTACCTGTTTCTATAAGTATGTGTTATAATTTAAAACAATTATACCATTTTTTCATTCTGCTTAATTGGTCATCACTAAACTAAGAGAAAGTGGTGTAAACATTCAGTAACTTGTCAATAAAACTAGAATGTATTAAGGCTATTTATAACCATGCGCTTCCTTAAACATGTTAATATCATGGAGCTAACTACTTGGAGGGGTCATAAAAATACATGCCTTTATCAAAATTTAGTTTTTATAACTTTGATGTTCTCCACCTGTAAATTCCACCGATATGTGCAGGTGGGTAGGTCAAGGGTCATACAGGTATATAGAATATAAAATACTTATATTTTACAGTGTTATGAGACAACATGTTGAGTGTAATGATCAATTACTAGCAGATTGTGGTTCAATCATGCCTGAAATGATTAAACAGCGTTTAGCAGCCGCCGGTCAACAATACAATCAAACATGTAAGTTAAAAATGTTGATGGTATAATTCATTGTTCTTTGTTTCAGTTGTATCATACTAAGCTTATAAATTAACAGGATGATGACTGTTGTGACCTGTGGAGGGATATGATCAATTGGTACCACTTACAATTATTAGAATTGTTTTATATGACAAGAAGACTGATCCTTGTGTGTTTTCATTCCCAGTGGGACAACTGGCCTTTACAGATTTTCATTTATTATCATCACTGGACCTCGTCCAAAATAATTTCGTTGCTGAATTTTGCTAAATGCTTTCGGAACATATCCCTGCTTCAATAATGGGCATTTTGTGTTCACACTAAGCACTAATAAGCAAAATGATCGATACTTTATGAAATTATCAATATGCAATTAAAAATGAGTGTCATCATCTAATTACTGTTTCAATTTACGGGGAACATCAGCCCCACTGTTGACTTGTTTATATCTGTTGTGTACTTATACAAAGCCTGATAGATATATACACACTTGATAGCTATATAGGAAACCAGAGTGTTAGTATTTTATTGAAATTTAGCAGTTATGTTTTATTGGCTGATCTATTAGTAGAAACCCCTCTGCCAGAATACATTACTAATAGAGAAGAACATTATAACTTAAAGTACTAAATTTGAAAAAAATGGTTCAAAATTTTAATAGGAATAAGGATTGCTTATTCATCACAATATTTTATTTTCCTTTTTTATCTTTTAGGTGTTAGATATGACCATGCAGGTAATCTATACAATTTATAAATTTCAGATCTTCTTATGTTGTTCGAATGGTTTGTCTAATCATACACTATGAGATATAATTATTGGTAAAATGAATAATCAAAATTTGCCTAAATGTCTGTCTTAAAATACAGAAACTAGGTAGTTAAACCATGTTTCATTTCATTTTAATTAATATATGTCATTTGATAGTTTATCTGGAACAGAAAGCAAATCATCCAAACAGCAAAAACAAATCTTACTTTGAAAAGTGTTACAAGTTGTTCCAAATATAATAAGGATTAGAATACATGTCACTATTGCCAATGTGCTTTATCGTAATTACTCATGGATTACAGCCCCTGGTTGTGCGAACAATTTACGTTTTGAGCTTGTTGACAGCCTAGCGGTCACAATGTTTTTCCAATTTTGAGGAAAATTAAAACACGTGTTTATATCCCACGGAACGTAACTTCCTTTATTATGGCCCCTGATTGCACGAAGAAATCGCGATTTTAGCTTGTTGACCTGTCAAAATTACCGCTCCTTGAACGCAAATTGTGTAAAAGTAGGTAATACCAAGGCGTGGACCCGCTAGAGGTCACTATTTTTATTTATAAATCTTATGTTTATACCCAAAGGATCTCAGTTGGGGTATTTGAACATATCGGACCATAAGTTCCTGGATTATGGCCCCTGAGTGTAGGAAAAATAACATTTTTAGCTCGTGGGTCCTCTAGGGGACACATTTTTTTTAATCATTTTTAAAAACCGTTTCAATATATCACCGTTTGACCATAACGAAGGTTGAGTTCGAATTTCGGGAAACACAATTTTTACCAATTTTAAAAACCCGTTCAATACATCACCGTTTTATCATAATGAGGTTCGAATTTCGGGAAAATCGAAACGAATGGCCACTTCTTGTACGCAAATTGTGTACAAGTATGTAGTACGAAGTTTGTGGACCCTCTAGAGGTAACTATTTTCGTTCGATTTTGATGAAACTTAAAATATCTCTTTTCATTCGAAAAATGTCAGACCATAACTTCTTGGATTATGGCCCCTGATGGTATGAAAAATCGCTTTTAGTTTTTAGCTTGTTCTCTATCTATCTCTTGCAAAATGTGGGCGTATCCTGCCTGGCAACGGCTGGTTGGCAAAATAAATACAGTTTTATGTTTAATTTTGTTAATATAGAAATGTTTTATGTGTGGCTTGGTTTCGTTCCCTTGTGTGAGCGCCTTTCCAACCTCGTGGGTTTACTCCTCCCACAGGAAAGAACCCTGCATGCGTGCCAAGTATAATAAAATAAGATAACCTGTCTGCGATATCAACCTCGTTGGAAGAGGACGTTAAACACCAATAGAAGAAGATATTCTCTCAAATGTTCATAAGGAAACTGCTGGGATGGCTATTCTCTTCTATATAGTTTTCAAATTCCATTTTAAAAAATACTGTCAACCATTTTAGGTAACAGTATTTTATAGTAGTTAGGACGGCTATTCCCCACTATGTAGATATCAAATTCCATTTAAAAGATAATGTCAACCATATTAGTTAACAGTATTTATGGTAGTAATATTTTTAAGAACACATTTCTGATTTCATTTTCAGATTTAACCCAATCTAACACTTTTAATACGAGGACTACTGAAAAGGGTGAGTACTTTTTCATACAAAACAGAGACACCAACAAACATTTCATGTTTTTATCTGAAATTTTAATTTTGAATTTAAATCTGATTTTCTTCAAATAACAAATAAATCTATTTCAGAATGCCAGAAAATGAGTGAATCATGTTTAACAATAATCGAGTCCCTTGGCGATACGGCTGGTCAAAGAGAAGTAATGTGCAAGTAATTATATTACTATCATAGAATTGAAATAAAATAAATCAAATGGGGTTTAACCTCACCCGTGTGCTGTGAAAGTTAGATTTTTTCTAGACAATGGTGCTACATACGTATCTTATTTTGTATTGAAAAAGTGGAAAGTTCTGTTAAATTGAGCTCATTTTTTGGACCGTCTATATGAAAGTAGAAACCATGCTGGAAATGTTTAATAAAAACTATAATTACCCCGTACCCCCACCCAAACACAGTAGGTTTCTTGTTTTTATTTAATCAAACCTTGCCCTGGATACATTTGATGAGATATTAGCAGTAATACATAAATCAACGATAAAGAGTTAATTTTGTAATGATGAATAATAAAGATCAAAAATATCCTCATGACAACTTTACTTGAGATCTGCAGTTGAAGTTGATAGTGGTATATCGTTAAATTCGTGTGAATTTTTATCTTTTTACGCTTCATGGTACCCCTTCATAACTAGGTTGGGCAAATATATTAACATATAATGAATAACTGATGTTTCAGCGGAATGAGGAGGATGCTAAGTTGTCTCCAAAACGTTTTGACTGAATGTGCAGGTCATCTACAAAATTACAATGTTGATACCCTGATGGCTGCATACCAACAACATCTTGTTATTCACTGTAAGTAGCCATTAATATGGGTTTGACGTTGGTTAGAAAAATATTTCGTGAAATAAAAATGTAGCAGGGATGTAAATGTGCTGTATGATTGTTTGTATATCTAGAGACGCTTAGACTTGTTCTGTCCTGTGGTGAAAATCTACTGAATTTACTATCATAGTTAATGCTATCGTACAGTAAAAATAACATAACATAGATCACAAGTTATACCAAAGCAATATCTAAATTATGGTGGTAAATATTAAAATAAAAACACTGATAAGCATGGAGGTTTAAACCAGGAAAATATATTCTTATCATATCTCTTCTATTTCAGGTAACGGCAATGAAAATGAAATTGGTAAGTCAAGAATTTGAATATATTTAGTCTTATATAATTATATTAACATTATATTGCTTGATATTTATAGTGAAATATAGGATTGTTCCGATAAAAGTCTCGATGTAAGGCCGTTTGGCATATAGTTCAAGAGAGCAGAGTTGCCGACCAACATTGTCAATACTGATGAACCCATGTGTTGCCGGATAATGAACCTACCTTGACATGTATTGCCGTCCTGGCATTGGTTGAACTGTGTCTGCTGGAAATGGCTTGTTCTCCGTCTTTAGGTGTCAACGTTTGCATATCTTTTGTCTTCCATAGAACTGTAGGAGTTGCACTGATCCTTTTGCTCTTGCTGCCCTGCTCTATAATTATTTCCACCTGGACTGAACTTCAAAGAAAGACCGACATAAATAATTTACAAATTAATATATAAATTCACTGTAAATGTTGTTTCAGATAACATAACCAGTTTTTTAACAGTTATCAATTTTCATCTGCATTGAAATGATCTTGGATGCCTATGATTTGCACAAGCTGATGCATCTCTTGCACACAGACTATGCATGAAATATTTGGCCCATCATCCCACCAAAACCTGTTTAAACAATTCTAATAATCCAGTGAATGAAATGAAATAAAATGGGGGGGGGGGAACATTCTATTTTCCTGTACTGAGTTCACTAATGAATACGTGCATATGGCGGTTCAGACAGTAATGTATAGTTTCACTACCAGGTACTTCAAAACCTGACTGAGTTTTATCGTGAACATTTTATGCTTAGCCTATGCATAGATAACTATTAATTAATAGTCATCTATTTATTTTGGGATTTCGGCGGGGGAAACTAGCCTCACTGTTTGCTTGTTAAATTATCAATATTATTTGTAGGTGGACCAGGACCTATGTCAGGTAGACCAGGACCTATGCCAGGTAGACCAGAACCTATGCCAGGTGGACCAGGACCTCAGCAAGGTAGTTTAATGTCACTACATTTGTTTATCTAATCTAGCTATTTTTTAACCTTTCTATTCTATCTTAAAATTAGTACAATATTGAAAAATGCAAATTTTTTTTTTACCTAAGTACTTAAAATTAGTACTCACTTTTTATTACAAAATGGGGCTGACATTGCATGATTTTAAGTTCTCATCACTGACAAGAAGGAACCACGTCGGAAAAGCCCAATGAACTTTCTCGCCCAACGTAGGGATAGACAATGTGACCTCCAGGTTAGCGAGCCAATGCCTTACTCACTGAGTCACGGTGCCTCACTATTTGTAACATAAAGACAGAGCTTGTTTTATAACCCAATTATCAAAGTTTATATTAGTAACTAATCAACATGATCCCTGTGGTGGTGCTGAACAACTTCCAAACAATTTTAAGTGGCATTTTGGATGTGTCTGTCAGGTGTACCCCACCACTAAAAATGTCTGGCAGTGGTTATTCTTGATTCAACTTTCAAGCAGATTTCAGCTAATCTAGCCCACCAGTGTGTTGTCTGCCAATTGTAATAACTGAATATAAATAAGGTACATTTTCACGTGGTACACTTTTGACTTTTGAGCTAATCTAGCCCAAGAATACATGTCTAGAATCATAGTCCTCACAGCCACACCCACCGCCAGACCGACAGACTTACATTCTAGTGATACCCGATGTACATGTATTGGTACCATACATTATCACTTAAAACGAGAACCTATTTTTATGTAGACTTTTAACTGGAAAAAATGTGTTACAATATGTATTGAAGTATATTTCCAAAGCTTTTTACCTGTAACCGGTCTCACCGTCTGATTGATAATTTCCTCCCTTCACTAATTCTTTTATTCAGTTCTTTCCCAGTGTGAAAATAAATTTAATGAATGCGGACAATATGGTGCTCAGTTAGAAGCGGCAGGTGCGCTGGATCCAGTTGCCCGTTGTGTGTAAGTATAACTATTGTGTTTACGATCACATACTATCTTAATAATACCAATAATCTTTAAAGACATTTAGTAACTCGATGGAGTAATAAACTATAATACATACGTATAGAAAGCAACTTCTCGAAACTTCGCCCTAATGATTTAGTACCTGTTTCTATAAGTATGTATTATAGTTTATAACAATTATACCATTTTTTCATTCTGCTTTATTGTTCAGTTGTGTACTTCCTTGCCTCTTGGTGTAAACATCACTAAACTAAGAAACAGTGGTGTAAACAGTCAGTAAGTTGTCAATAAAACTAGAATGTATGAAGACTATTTATAACCACTCTCTTCTTTAAACTTAAACATGTTAATACCACGAAGCTTAATACTTGGAGGGGGATATAGAAATACATGCCATTATCAAAATTTAGTTTTTAGACCTCGATGTTCTCCACTTCATATAGCCTACCTGTAAATCACACTGGTTTGGGGGGGGGGGATCACGTGGCTAAGTGGGTAAGACGCTAGCTCGCTAGCCTGGAGGTCGGGTGTTCGATCCCTGCATTGGCCGAGAAAGTTCATCCAGATTTTCCGGCGTGGTTCTCCCTTGTCAGTGATGCAGGACGGTGGGGCTGACAAAGAAAGCTGTCTAGTCGTTCGGATGTTACGAAAAACCGAGGTCCCGTGTACACATTGGCGTGCACGTAAAAGATCCCTTGGCAGTTGGAATTCGATATAAGAGTAGAATTCGATATAAGAGTAGGCCGTAGTGCCGCTGTTCGGGCAAAATTTCCCTCATAGCACACTGTATGGCGTATGCCCGTTTTCATTAGCCCAGGTTAGGAGCAGAACAGTAGGACGTTAAATTTCATTTCATTTCATTTCACACTGGTTTGGCAGGTCAAGGTTCATACAGGTGTATAGAATATAAAATACTTATATTTTACAGTGTTATGAGACAGCATGTTGAGTGTAATGATCAATTACTAGCAGATTGTGGTTCAATCATGCCTGATATGATTAAACAGCGTTTAGCAGCCACCGGTCAACAATACAATCAAATATGTAAGTTAAAAATGGTAGTCGTATTAATCAGTGTTCTATCTTTCAGTTGTAATAACATGAAGATTGTGATGGTTGTTGTGACATTGGGAGGGATATGGTTACTTGGTACCACTTTCTATTATCAAAATTGTTTCATATGACATGTACTTTCCATTTCCAGAGGGACAACTGGCCTTTACAGATTTTCATTTATTACCACTAGAGGTCACAACTTTTATCTGATTTTAAAAATCATTTGAATATATCATCGATATATTCTGATGATGATTGAGTTCGAATTTCGTAAAAAATCGGACCCAAAGGTCCACGTCAAAATGACCGCTCTTTGAACGCAAATTGTGTTATAGTATGGTAATAACAAGGTTGTAGATCCGCTAGAGGTCACTATTTTTGATGAAACTTAAATTGTATGTTTATATGTCAAAGATCTCAGTGGGTATTTGAACATATCAGACCATAACTTCCTGAATTATGGCCCCAGATTTTACGAAAAATCACATTTTTAGCTCGTTGATCCTCTAGAGGACACACTTTTTATTGATTTTAAAAACCGTTTCAATATATCACCGTTCCATCATAATGAAGGTTAAGTTTAATTTCCCGAAAATCGAAACGCATGGCCACTCCTTTAATGAAATTGTGTACAAATCTGAAGTACGAATGTTGTGGACCATCTAGAGATCACTATTTTTGTTCGATTTTGATAAAACTTATGAAATGTGTCTTTACATCCCAAAGATTTCACCCCTTTCGATTTTCTCGCATTTCAGATCATAGCTTCTTGGATTATGGCACCTGCTTGTACGAAAAATCGCCTTTATTTTTAGCTTGTTCTCTATCCATCTCTTGCAAAATGTGGGCGTATTTTGCCTGGCAACCGCTGATTGACAAAATAAATAAGAGTTTTCTGTTTAATTTTGTTAATGTAGAAACGTTTTATATCTACCTTCAAGGTATAAGGAATATTTTATTTTTTCAGGTCCAGGCGGTAATAAAGGTAAATATTTTTTCAATTAATATTTGATCAGCCAGAACTAGGCTTGTCTGACGATGTAAATAGTGTTAAAACTATGCTAAATGCATGTTATGTAACTCAGTGTTAATAAACAAACCTGAGAGTACTATGGTCAGGAACCAAGCATGGCATCTTGGAATTGTGACGTCATATCAAAAATTGAAGTTTGTCAATCGGTTCGCAATTGTCCAAGGACCAAGCATGCTAAGTTTCCAGAAACACGAAGATGATTAGAGGTTTGGTTCCTGTACCTGGTGGTTCAATCAGTCTCTAAACTAAACAATATACCACTACTCTAATGCAAAAATATATTTTCATTACATAATTTTATTTTTCTTAATTGAATTGTTTGTTTTTTATAATTAAATAGTTCTGTTTTCCTTAATTATTTTTTTTTTAATTAAATAGTTTTTTTTCCTTAATTAAATTGTTTTTTCTAATTAAATAGTTCTGTTTTTTCTTAATTAAATTGTGTGTCTTTCTAATTAAATAGTTTTGTATTTCATTTTGTTTCTTATATAGCTGTAGTGCCAAAGAAAAAAACAGGTATGTAAATAAAACCTTTGATCATTTACTTGAACAAGAGTCGTCTATTGCTATTACCATTGTCCTTTTTTATAGATATCTTGATACCTTTAAATGGAGCATGCGTGCTAGAGATTCTGTGAATTTCCCTGACATCAATTCAGATGGCCATTTATTACCCTCGCTTTACATTTCATCTTACTTTTTCTTTGATTATCTGATGTGAAAATAGTAATTTACACAAATAATAATCTGAATTTATCTTTTAAAGGACGACTTTCTCCGGCAAAGTGTGAAGCAATGATTTCTAAATGTAAGAGAAAATTACTAGGATATGAAGCTGGTAATAAGGAAAAGTGTCTGTAAGTAAAACTAAATTAACGAATCACCATGAATTTTAGTTTCATATATATTGGGACATCAGTTTTCTTGTGGTGCACCACAGTGGCTCAGTTCTTGAAGACGCTGGCTTGCTAAACTGGAGGTCCCTTGTTCGGTCCCTGAGCTGTCCGAGAAAGTTCATTGTGCAGGACAGAAAGTCTGGCAAAGGACAAGGCACATAGGCGTGCACGTCAAATATCCCTCGACAGTTGGAATTCGATATAAGAGTAAGTCGTAGTGCTGCTGTCCGGGCACAATTGTCCTCATAGCATAATGTATGGTAAATGCCTGTCTTCATTAGCCCAGTCGGACTAGAACAGTATAGGGCCCCATTTCATTTCATTTCAGGTCTAATGCACGACAAATCTCGATGTATTCAGCTTTATAATACTGACTATATTTTAGCCCAATATTTAAATTCCATTCTTACGAGTGCACTGACATCTTCATGGATCATGCGTGAATAGTCCTTCATGTCATTCTGTGATGGAGCCAAATATCTGTACAACCTAGTTGCCACAGGAAGATGGTGTATTAAAAGAACAATAATCAAGTTCTACTTCTGCTTAGAAGTTTTCCAAAATGTGAATATAGGCCAACTGCGTCTAATAACATTGCATTAGAATGATAATGTAGCGAAATCTCAACCTATATCATTCTACAATCCTGGACAACAATCACCTGTCGATCATACAACTTATATAATATATATCATTCTACAAGCCTGGATAACAAGCACCTGTCGATCAGACAACTTTTATAATATAATATAAACGTTGTATTTCACAATGTCTGTATGTAAGTTGTGGGACAATTAGTACTTGACAAAGTTTGTGACAATCTCATTAAAACACAGATTCTATTTCGTTTCGTTTTTATAGTTCCAAATTTCGTTTAACTTGTCTTTACAATTCTGGGATCTGGAAGAGTCGTTATCATTGACATGTTCTGAATGATGTGAGGGGTTAGCCAATGAAACGGTCTGTTACGGCGAGTTTATGGCCTTTTGATACACGGAACTGTCGCTAAACCACTAGAAACGTCAACGCTGATTAATTAATATCTAACGTCATAGGATCAATAGCCCCTCGTTTGACTCCTGAAGTGAACTCTCACTATAACTTGACAGATCTCCCTGTAGTGTAATAAGGCCATCAAAAGTATTAAAAAAACGAAACGAAATATAGATCTGTATGTTAATCAGATTGAATCTGTGACAGGTGTTGTTTGTCCTTTATTTTAAAAATAGTTATAATGCTCGACTTAAAAGATACTATGAATGATAGATTAATGTTTAATTTAGGCAAGGTTACAAGACAATGAGATGTTACAGAAGAGCTGCTAAAGTTTGTAAATTGACAAGACCTATTAGAAAGGAAATTAAAGCTTTCAAAAAATCTCATATAAATACTTGTAAGTATTAGTTAAGATGATGTAACTTTACAATGACTCGGATGTTGTCTGGAATAGTTCAATATATTTTAAGCATGTTATTCACTTTCCCGGGTTCCTAAATGGTATATTGTTTCATTTCATATTAAATAAGCAAGGCCTCATGAGAGGGAATTGGTGCAATGCATGTACTAGCTACATGTTTTCATCTGTATTCTCTGGCATATCAAATAATTTACTTTCTATTTTATATTGTTTGACAATTCCTGGTGTTATATAGATGACTATTAGTAACAAATTATACCTCTATTCAGCTTTTTGTATTTTTGTGAATTGTATAATATGTATATTTTATAGGTGGCAAGAAGAAGCCAAGGGCTGTAGATGATGTTTATGATCTTGATGGTCTTGATGATAGTTTTGATATTTATATTGCCTGGTTGGACGGTGATGATATTGATGCTGATTAGGCCATTACGTTTTAAATAGATAGTATTTAATCACAGTGCCTTTAAACGTTATGTTAAAATAGAAATACGTTTTTGTATCATTCATCAAGGTTGAGTAATAAAATTACTGTAACCTGTAAGAGAGGGGGAGAGAGAGAGATAGGAAAACCTATATATAACTGAAATGAAATGAAATGGGGTTTAACGTCCTACTGTTCTGCTCCTAAACTGGGCTATGGTGACGGGCATACGCAATACAGTGTGCGATGAGGGAAATTTTGCCCGGGCAGCTGCGCTACGGCCTACTCTTATATCGAATTCCAACTGCCAAGGGATATTTTACGTGCACGCCAATATGTACACGGGACCTCTGGTTTTCGTCCCATCCGAACGACTAGACAGCTTTCCTTGTTAGGCCCTCCGTTCTGCATCACTGACAAGGGGAAACCACGTCGGAAAATCCCGATGAACTTTCTCCTCGGCCAATTCAGGGATCAAACACGTGACCTCCAGGCTAGCGAGCCAGCGTCTTACCCACTTAGCCACGTGATCCCCCAAACCTATATATAAATAGCCCTGTCTAATAGAGCTATTCGCATACAGTCGTCTAATAACCACACACGCTAGCGCTATATAATCTATCTATCTATATATATATTTGTGACTGTCGTTTGTCTGTCTGTCTGTCTGTTATGACCCCTCGAGCGAAGCCGGTCTGTTTGGGGTTGGCGGCTACACTAGGCCTGCCCTGTGTCTGAAATTTAGGGTATAGGGGTAGCTCGGACCGAGGAGTAATATAGGCCAGGTGGCGTTAGTCTGATACTTCCGGTTTCGGAGTTATGACCCCCGAGTTATGGTTCAGCCTTCTGGGGGTATCCAAAGATTGACTCCATAGAAAAACCTCATTTAAAATGCCTAAAATCAATCCTGGGTGTTAATTCAAGTGTTTGTAATTTGGCAGTATACGGTGAAACTGGACGATTGCCTCCTTATGTATAGTCTCTGGAACTAAATACGAAAACAACTGGTCAGCTTTCTTATAAGTTTACAGTTGAAAAATATAACTAAAGAACGACTGTTTCTTAGATTTATATTAGTCAGTAAGTAAAGTAAGTAAGTAAGTAAGTTTATTGCATAAAAATGCATACAGTTACAAAATAAAAGAAAAATCACATTAGAAGAAATATACATAAACATAGATAAACGTTGCCTTGTTCACTACTGATTCAAGGGTCATGTGTAAAGATACCTAAATAGAACATAATATCTAATTTAATCTTATAATGTAATTTAGAAAGTACGCTCACAACAAAATAAACATGACTAGAATATATACGAATACATGTAGATTTATATTTAACGATATATAAATACATATATACATCAGGAAATGTCCTGTCAGGTAACATCTCCTGAATTAAGAGCATAACGCACAAAACGGCAGATTTCGCGAGATATACACCTTGGGGGGGGGGGGGTAAATAGATTGATGAAAGTTGTTAAGTTCCCAAATCTATAGAAACACGTTACTAACTTATAAACAAACGTACCAGTTACCCCACCACAATTATTGGATTATCGCCTTTATTTTATGCCTTTATAAATGCACTTACATAGTACGATTTCTTCAGCATACCTGTTTTGCATTTCTTGTGCGGGGTATTACGTATTGTAAAAGTGTTGTTTCTGGTATATTTTATCCTGAATATATAAGAGAGATCCAATATTGATGTTTCTCAGTAATTTATTAAGTGAAGATCAATCATTATTAAAATTCAAACATTAATAACAATATATATAAAAACAATATATATATAGGGTGGTGTAGCTTATAATAAAATATATATATATATAATTTCACAATAATATAAAATATGTATTAAACTTTAATAGAGCTAACTCGCTTGTGCTTGTGAACAGGTACAAATTACTGATGTCGAATAAATTAAATGTAAGATCTTCATCAAATATAACTATTAAATCTTTATCAAATATAACTATTAAATATATATTCTCTAGTTATCGACAATCATTAATCGATAATAAAATATGTCGTACTTTTTAGTCACTAATAGTTCCAATAATCTAAATAACAAATTTCTTTAATAAACAAGTAATCTATCGAATATATAGTACTTTTCGGTTTATTAAAAATATACATTGTAAAATATTCGCTGCTAATGAATCATATAAATTCTTACTTTTCCGGTTATTTTAGCGCGAACCAAATTTAATTATTTTTAGACACTAATTATTTTTTTATTAAAACATATTTAAATAAACAAGTATTTCGTCGACAACGTACTTTTCCAATTTTATTAAATATATATATATATATATTGTAAAATATTTGTAATTAATTAAACAAGTAATAAATCTTATAAATTCTTACTTTTCCGTTTATTAATTAATATTTTACGTAGGTTTAGAAATATGTGTTAAAGTAATACTCGATTCTATCAATCATACTTATCCGATATAAAAGGGTATAATTCTAAATCTTAAGTTAAGATAAACATATATAAAGTTTAACATTCAAATTATACATAGAGCTTACCTGAATATAACAAAGATCCAATATTGAAGTTTCTAAATAATTCATTAAGTGAAGATTAATTGTAAGTGTGTGTGTTCTTAGTGTTTAACGTCCGCTTCCACCGAAGGTGATATCGCAGACAAGTCTTATTGTTCATTTTTATTATCTTAGCGCACGCGCAGGGGTCTTTTCTGTGGGAGGAAACCGGAGGAAACCCACGAGGTTGAGAAGGCACCCCTATCTCCAAGCCACATACGCTCACATCAGGGATGGAAACCATAGCCGCAAGCCAGAGGTGACCGGCCAGCTAGAGGCCGAAGCGCGGCACTCTAGACCACTAGGCCATCCCATCCCAATGGTAAGTTTGAGCTAGCTTATTTATATCTTCGATATATAAGTCCCGGCAACTAGTGAACACGCCACGTGTAGGATTAAACTCATTTTTGATTGGTGGAAGACCATTTGCCGATACGAAGTCTGATTGGCCAGAACGAGACTCGCTTGATTTAATATGTCAGGGCTCGACAATCTGAGTAATAGCGTTAGTTTAATCCAATCGTATTGTTTAAAAGTTTAAGCTGTCACCATTAATCTTACTTAATTACTATAGATAAACAATCAATAAAGAACCCTCTATTAAAGCTCTTTTATACAGGTATACAATTTTATAATCTTGCCTAAAATCTATCGACACCTAATCAGCGTCAAGGTTAATTTATGCTTTTACTGCATTCTAGCCCCAACGTATTTAATAAACATATATACATTTAAAATAAACTATATAAACTATAAAATATACAATCTTTAAAATACATAAAAATAAAATATCTAAAATAAAATATGTGTGCAGATTTCGTCAATATGCACTGTTACAATACCTTAAATCACTGTCCAAAGTTTTAGGGAAGACCCCAGATTAAACGAAGGGCTGTCATGTTGCTGTACTTGGGGTAGATTTGATTGAACGAGAAGTATCAGAAGCTCAAGTATCAGAAGCCAATCCAGCAGTGGCCAGAGAGTGATTTCTCGGGCCGTTGCTTCAGGAATATGGAGGGAATGCTGCAGACTAGCGTAGGTCACAAGTAATTGAAGAGGGATAACTGGCTTTATGTGATTGACGTAAACAGAGACCTACATGTCACGAAGAAAAACTGATGCAAATCTAAATGACAAACACTATCAAATAAATCATACAAATAACACAAAGAGCTTGTTTTTACCCCGTATACTCTCTAACATTGACTTTACTTTCTACATAATTTATCAAACAATACTTCACGTTTAGGTAGGTTTTATATGGAGGGGATTAGTTACTCTATTAACGGACAGCTGTATATATGTATAAATGTTTAGTTTGTATTGAAATCTCAAATAATTTTATATTTTGTATGTTCTTGTTGTATATATGTTCTGTATGTACATAAAATAAACTTATTTTTGTAAATTCTGGAGAGGAGTCAACATAGGCCCAGCCTGTTCTCCAATATTATTTCAAATGGATTAAAATATTGTTTACCAAAAAAAAACAAACAAAAAAACATTGCCTGACAATTACCATACTATTCTACCGACAAGATTATATACTGTCAATTAATGAAGAGACGAAACAATAATTATAATGGTTAGTAAATAGGGCTACAACTATTCATTCATATACAAAGATCAAATGATATCCGGATGCCAGTGATTCAAATGTATAGAGAGGCCTAGTCTGCACACGACCGGTATAGCAACAAACACAACTGTATAATACTATATGGGCAATATGAATATGTCCGTGTATGCAGCAAGAATGAGTGACGATACATCATCAAAGTTCCGGTTTCGGTTAAGTGACACGTGATTGTTTGAAGGAAAAGAAAACTCGTTTGTATATGTTACGTCTAGGAATCTGAACGTGTGGGTTTTTCTAGTGTATAAATCATCAAAGTTGAATCCGCTTACATTTCTATTTCAACGTATCCGTTTCCTTTAAAGTGGTGACTTTTGAAAAACGTGCATAACATCTCTCGTTGAATATTTACTTAAACCTGGAGTGTAGAGGCTCTAGGGTTTTTACAAAGGATGGGTAAATGCTTTTGTTGCAAAACTTTCACGGGGAATGAAATTTAAAGGGACAGACTAAGTTTAGATACGCTTGAATAAGTTTTATATTAAACCGATGTCACTTGATCTTATATTTAAACATTAAGAATGGGTTTATTTAAGGGCAAGGTAAAGTAACACCATTTTGTTACAACACCTGAAAAATTTATTTCAAAAACCAGAACAGTGGCCCTTGGATACAAAAGTCTAAAATAAAAAACATTACTCACAGACCATTTTTTTACTACCACTGACCCTTTAAACAGATCTTGTGATCACTGAGGCGTAAATTTATGGTGAAAATATCACAAAATGTCCAACAAACGCGGTTACACCTACAAGAATTATTTGAACTTTCTGACGTTACTTATCACATTCAACTATTGTCTCATGGTGTGTACAACAACCTTCGAGACTCGCTTTTTCAATTAACCTCTCTCTATTAATGTAATACGTATTTCAATC